TTGAAGGGTTTAGTTGTCTATATAGTCATTGATTTACGTAAATACATCTAATGTTTAAAGTTTGTGTAGATTGAAAATTCCTTCTTATCTTTTTACAAAAAATCTTATTATTATTGTATGGAAAATCAAACTCATAATGTTGTGTACAATGTGGTCTTTAATAATATATGATTGTTTGTTTGTCGAATACTATCTTATTGTAATTTTCCTGCGTATTATAAAACTTTTATTGAATATTGCATCTTATAATATAGTATTCCTCAAATAAATATATCCCGTGCCTCGCACGAGTCACGTACTATATATATCCCGTACATTTTTCTGTATTCATGTATATAATTATAAGTCTGGATAAATAGCCTTAAAATTGTACACTCCGTGCATCGCGCGGGCTCTGTACTAGTAGCATTTCGTGGGCCAAATTTATAGTTGAGTATGGTGACGTGATAGTAAACATTATTATTAATTAATTTTAAGATGTCACATTCGTTTATTTCGGCATACACTCATTTAGTAAATTACCAACTGGTCAAATTTAGATTGTTTGATAAATGACCAAAAGATATAACTCGAGTTTGACTCATTTAAGCTCGTGAAACAAATCCAAAACTTCAAACGAGTTATTTGAGCATTTCTGCGAACATGTTCAACTCGATTGTTCATCTAAAAACTATAAATAATAATAATAATAATAATAATAATAATAAACAACCTGTTAGCATACGATTTCAACTTAACTCATTAAATATACAAGAGCTTGATTAGTTTTTCAAACGAATAGAGCTCAAACTTTTAAAAGTCTAATGGAGCTATATTCGTGAACAATGTAGTTTAGTCATAAGTTAAATTCAAAACGTTTATATAAATGTCAAATAGCCTGGCCACGCGATTTTCTGGTTAGGTTGGTGATTAATACTAAACTAGTATAATACCCGTGTATTACACGGGTGTTAATTAAAAAATTATAAATATTTATTTGAATAACTATATTACTATTTATATTTAAAATAATATTTATCACTTATACGGCTTACTATCTTATATTACAATATTTTTTTAAATCATATGATTTAAAAATTTTGTAGTTAAATTGATTTATATAATTTTAATTTTTTAATTAATACTAATAGGTAATTTAATTTTTATTATAAAAATAAATATAATTATTTATTCTGTATGTACAATATTGATGTCAAATCGAAGTTTATCAAGACATGATTATTTAATACATTACGTATAAAAAAAATGGTAATAAATAAAAAAATTATTAACTTTTAAATTTAAGTCAGTAATTTTTCATAATTTTAAAAGGAAAATGAAGAAAAAAAAAGATTGAAAAAAAAATTATACCTTATATATCACGTCTAAAATATAAAATATAACATAATTAAAAACGACCATTTATATCTAGTATATTTATGGTTAGTCCAAACATAATTATTTTTTATTGAGAGTAAATAAAAACCTATCTAAGGCAACGGTTTTGCTATGGAGTCATCGGATGGCTCGGTTTATGGAGTCATCCATAGTTATCCACAAATGGTGTATTGACACGTGTCCTGCAATAAATGCACATTGGACACGTGTCAATACATAAAGTTATGGATGGGCTCCATAACATTTCTGTCCAAGGCAAATGACAAAATATGAAAATTTGCCACATAAGATTTTGAAGCACGCAAGTCTATCACTTATGCCCAACATATTCTGCAATTATAATAAAGGAGATGCGAAATAATATTGTAAATACTGCTTAGAATTTAAAATTTAGAAGAACAAGATAATCTCGAAAATACAAAAAGTAAATCGACGCCCTTTACAAATTTTAGACTAACAAAAAAATCTTTAATTCCGAAACATATAAATTAGCAAATCATATTTTTCTTACTGTTGTTTTAATTTCCAAATTTCATATCATAATATGTTTTTAGAATTGCAAAAATTGTAACATTACTTCGAGGTGTTAGGTGTTCAAGAGATCCGCATTCATGAAGGTGTGATTATTTGCCACAAGAATATAACATTAAATCATTTATAATGGGACAAAAAAATATAATACATGTGGTTGTTGCTTTTTTTGAGGTGTGCATAGGACCATCACATGGGGAGGACAATGACAAACGTGTAGATGGGTCTTTTATCACTCACATAATTTTAATTAATCATTCTTTCAATTATTTTTTTTTTACTTTTATATCAAATCAATTTTAATTATCTTATTTTTAATAATATTTAAATTTAAATTTAATTTTCCACTAACAACTAATCATACCACATTTTTAAAATTAACCATAAAACTAACTAAAAATTGATCAAATCCATATACAATCACACCCTTATTATCTTCTTCAATCTAATAATAATAAAAGAAAACTACAATTATCAACATTCTAAAAATGCCTACGAAGCTCAACGGCTGTGGCCGTCTAATTAAAGAAGAATAAAATAAAATTTCTTTTGCTTATCACAGAGCGACATTTCAAATAAAAGTAAGTATTGAAGTTTTAAGGGATTGTTCAAAACCTTAACATATAAATATTTTATTTCTTTTATATGTATAATCTTAATTCAACACTAATGTAATATACAAATATTATACTAGTTATTTAGTTGATGAAATATTAGTATGACTAAAAGACTCCATAGTTAAACAATAAAATAAATATAATTGATAGATTCAAATGTGGATTAAGTTATTTGACCAAAATATAAGATACACCCAACACAACACATCGTGTCTTCTGATACTGATAGAGTCCTAAATAATGGCAGTCCCCATCACAGCATTATTTAGTGTCGAAGGGATTGTAATAACTTAGAAGACAAAACTCACTTGATTTTCTTTTCCTTCCTTTGTTNGAAAGAAATTGCCATTTTTATGCAGTAACAGAAGAAAAAATAATGGGTAAAAAACATGGAGTTCCAGTTGCTCCTATTTTTCAATAATAATCAATATCTCCCACTATAATATTGCTGAAATGAATAAAAAAATGTCAACTACCACGAGCACACACAATTTTATTTCATCGATGTTGGAAGTTATGTTTGTCAAAATGATTTGTAACGAAAAGTAATTGTCTAAGTGTTGGCTAATCACTCTCTCATTCACCTTTTGAAGGTAAGTTATAACAAGACTCATCAATATCAATATATATATAATTGCTAGCTAAGCAATAAATTTTACCTAATAAATAAAACCTAATAAATTTTACCTATGTGGCAAATCATTAATAAAACCTAATAAATAGAACCTAATAAATTTTATTTATGTGGCATTAATACACCCAATCTCATTAATAAAAAAATACTTCATTACATTTTTTGGATTAATTAAGACAAAAACTATTATATTTTATGTTAATTGATTAATAATTATATTTTTTATTGAATAATATAATAGTTAATATTAAAATTAGTAATTATATTTTATACTAAATAATATATGAAAGTTACATAAAATTATATTCTACACTAAAATCAATATTTTTTTGTATGATGAAGATATTGTTTATTAATAAATTAATTTTTTTTATGTCATAGTAAAATTTATTAAAATCACATAAGCAATTGTTATAATAAATGTAATATTTTTCAGCTAATTAATTGGTCATGATCACTCAAAATTATAAAACGTATATAATTATTGCATTTTATACAATCAATATAGTGATTCGTATACAATCAAATCGTGTGTACTATTTATTTTAACCAATGATCAAATTTTAAAATATAATACTATTATATAATTTATAATTTTAATATTATATACATAAATATAACTTAGAATACTATATGTTTGAAATATAATACAATTATATAACTTATAATTTTTATATTATATACATAAATATAACTTATAATATTTAATTTTATTTACATCTGTGCAAATGCACAAGGTCGAATACTAGTTTACCTTCATATTAGAGCATTAAGGCTTGTTTGTTAGGAGATAATGTTACAAATTATATTTGTCCCATACAGTTTTGCTATGGAGCCATCGGATGACTCGACTTATGGAGCCATCCACACTTATTAACCAATAGTATATTGACACGTGTCCTGCAATAAATACACTTTGGACAAGTGTCAATACATTAATTGGTGGATGGCTCCATAAGAAAACCATCCGATGGCTCCATAGAATTTTTGTTGTCCCATAACGATTGAGAATTGAGCTCGTTTTTTAAAATGCTTTCTCCCAAAACCCATTTATCAATATCATATTCTCTCTCTTTGCCGATTATATCTCATAACTATCATAAATAACAAGATAATCAAATCAATTTCAAGCATTAGTTCTCATCTCACATGACCCAAACTCTGGAATTCATTTTTGCCCTCCAAACAATATTTCTACATTATTATTCAAAATATAATTAGGAATTGAGTACCTAAAATACATCACTAGTACTCTTTTATTCGTGCACGGGTGAATCAATTTGTTTACGCTCAATGTAATTATAAAATTATCAGTATAACTAGTTATGATCAAAATTTTCAATTATTACTCATTAGAATTTAAATTTATACATTATAGTGACATACAATTTAATAAACGTGACCCACAACAAAATTGTAAAGTTCTACATTTAAAAAAATTAATTTTATAGAAATNAATAAAAAATTGCACGGTTAAATTGAAAAAAATAAATTCAACTAACGTTGATCTCAAATACACAGCCAAATTATATATAAAAAAAAAATCATATAAGTAATTTGAAAATTCATTTCCACGCCATTTCTTAAATTAAAAATTTATAAAAATATGATTAACCTATTATTTTATTTATAAAAAAATGATTAAATGACCAATTATTTCTAAACATTTATATATAATTAAAATACTTATTAATTTAGTAAGACAAAAAAACAAAAAGATTACTTAGACTGTTTATAGACATTTTTTAGTATACATGGATATAGATATAAATTTATGAAGTGTCTTCTAATTAACAATATACATTTTGTACAAAAAAATGAACAATATAGTAATTAAATTTATTATTAATTTATAGTAATTTAAACATAATTATAAGTATATTTCAATTTAGGTATTCCACGAAAACTATAGCTTTATTAAGAAAAAAAATAAAATTTCTAAATAAACTAATAATATTTGGCGAGAAAATTTTAATATGCCTATTTATAGACTTCTTTCTCTTTATTAATGTATAGATAGATATAGATGATTTTGTAGCTTGCCTATGGATCCAGATAAACGATTTCGGCAAATGTGGAAGCACGTCGAAAGCGAAGCAATTCCTTGAGCAACTCCCACCCGCTATCCATTGATGCCGGTTTAACTGTCATTTTCTCGAGCACAGGCGCATTTGCAAGCATGAAACTGATAAAATCCAACTCTTGTCGTGTGCCGAATATTCCAACAATCTTGATAACCCGAAGCCTATTGAACGAAAAGCTATGTAAATTATCCGCGATGTTTGCATTTGTTCCAACACTAGCTTGTTCCTCTGCACGAGCCTGTCGAGATATTCTTTTTAATCAATGGTGATCTTACAAAAACTTATATTCTTGATATTCAGATTAAACATTTGGTATAACTGTAGGAAATCCAACTTTTTTCTTTCAAATGTACAAAAACACACCAAACTAACGAGTAACGACATTTTAGAGGGTGCGAGAGAGAGAGATTTGTAGAAAAGAAAAAACGTACCAAAACCTCAAGTTCGTGAAGGTTGGGAGAACTTCTCAGGAGGCAAAGAGCAGCAAGATTCTCTTCCATGTCGTTGAAATTAATACGAATCGAAAGAAAACTAAGATCGACACATGGTTTGGGTAGCTTTCCCGGTATAGCTCCAGCAGCCAAATACTAAGGAAGGGAAAAAAAAAATGAAAGTTGCATAGACCTATGATTAGTGTTATTCTGTAATAATATGCACCAATACAATACCCGTGTATTACACGGGTGTTTGTCAAGAAATTTATATCTAAAATTAAAAATAATAATAAAAAAATTGTTTTAATTTTGAAATACCTTATTGAATAACTATTTTACTATTTAAATTTAAAATAACACTAATCACTTATAAGACTTACCATCTTATATTGTAATAACTGTTTTTTAAATTATTTCGATTAATTATATAATTTTATTTTTAATTAATATTAATAGGTAATTTATTTTTTGTTATAAATATAATAATTATTTATTTATTTTGTATGTACAATATATGTGTCAAATCGAAGTTCATCAAGACACGATTAATTTGACATCTTACGTATAAAACCTATTAACTTTTAAATCTACTTATAATTTAAGTTACTAATTGTTTCATGATTTAAAAAAGATGAGGAAAAAAAAAGATTGAGAACAAAAAAAATTATGCCATATAAATAACGTCTAGATTAAGAAATGTAACATGATTAATGCTCTTAAAAAGGACCATATAAACCCAATTGTTTTTTAACTGAGAGTAAATTAAAATTCATCCAAGCCAAATCACATGATAGTTTGCCACATAGGATCCCGAAGCATGCGAGTCTGCCACTTAGGCTCAACAAATTCGACAATTATATATAGGGGGATGTTCGTGCATGTAAATTGATAATGCGTAGCTTAAATCGAGTTTTTTTATTATCATACCTTCAGAAAAAAGCTTTGCACCTCAAGCCTCTGAATGTGGGGCAGACAGGCAAAAAACTTGACCAAATTACCCGAGTTGCCGAACGCCACTTTCCGTTCGACTCCGGTTTTCGCATACAAACCGATGGACACAACAGACAAATTGAAAGTATCCTGAAAACTGACTTCCTCGAAAACGCCCCCGACATCAAAGAAAAGCAGATTCGGCGCTCGTATGTTCAGAAGGACAAAACCATCAAAGTTCATCAGAGTCAGTCGCTCGAGCAGAGGGCAGCTTAAAACCATGTGCTCAAACGCCAGCTGGTCCATCGTGATATGCTGCAAGTCGAGGCTCTTCAAATTTCTAAACCCGTTGAAATTAAGAGGCGGCTTCAAGAGGCAGTTAAAGAGCTCCAAATGGATAAGCTTTTGACACGAGTATATCGAGGAAGGAAGCTTGTACCTATGGCCTTTCCATATCTCGAGTATTAATTCTTTTACAGAGCCTCTCGAGAGAAATAGTATCCACCTGTCGATATCACTAACGCCTTGAAGATCTCGAATTGAAAGCTTGAATTTTTCTTTGGGGCCCGTGTGGAGTAAAAGGACATGGTCAATGATGTTGACTAATTTGTTTTTCACGAGGTTCGTGTCGTGAGTTGAGATTAGGGAGGGTTGATTGTCGAAGACGAGGGAAGGAAGGGTGACCCATTTGTATCTCCACTTTTTTGACAAAACGCTCGTTCGGACAGCGTCTCGAATTGGTAAGTGGGATAGGATTTTGTCGATGATGTGGCAAGGTAGGTTGCTAATTCGGTCGACCTCTGTTTTCAAGTTGCAAGGCAGTTCGGGTGGTTCTCGGTGCTTCTGTGAAAATTAAGAAACAAAGACAAATGCAAGTTGGGAAGCTCGAAAACTCTAAAAAAACTAAAATAACTATGAAAATGGAAAATGAACAATGCAAGACTGAAAAACAGAAAACAATAATTAAAGAATCTAAAGGACCATAAC